ATTTTCACTATCTAGCAAGAGGGAAACAGAATAACATAAGTTTTTGTTTTTCAGTGAAGATTAGTGTCTTACTGCTGCGCTTTCCATTCCTCCGGCAGAACCCTCATAGTTGGCTTCACATCCGCTTAAATGTTCATCAAGTAATTCCTTATACTTTTCGCCATCTTTTTCTTTTATACCTAAAGAATTGAAAAGGTAGAGGTGGAACAAACTACTGTAAAAGGTGAGAAACTTTCTTGTTACCTAACAGACCACAACAAACAGAACATTTGCGACTAAGAATCTCGTAGTCCAGGACTTTGGACGGATTAGAAACGCTGATAAGAGTGCCACCTCCATGTAATGAACTAAAACCCTGTGTCATCCAAGTGCCATCAACGGATACACTGGTATCATTACTGCTAAAGTGACTTCTAGCCTCATTCGCAGCAGTGCTCATGCTTTTATCAGCAGCTTCTCTTGTAGCTACAACTAGTTCGTTTTCGTATTTCTGAAAATTTCGCATTTTGACAGGTGGTAACATGCCTAACGTGCCTAAACATAGGGAACATATGCCCAGAGTAAGCAGAAAAAACTGTAGGGGGATGAAAAGTATTTACCTACAACTTTACTCAAACCACGTCTGTTCAATCCTACCAAAGCTCCTCCTAACACTAACATCATATTCATGTCCGTCATTTGTGAATTTTTGGTTTGTGATGTCATAATTCTACCACCATTAGTAAAACGTATAACATTTTCACAGTTGGAACAAATAAAATTGATAAAATATACTAGGCCCAGACGTTTTGTTATATGAAAACAATATGAATCAGTTTTATCACATTTCGGACATTTGAACTGATTGATTGTTTCTAAGAAATTTCTAATACTGGTAATAATATTGACATTTGCGATCATAATCATCTTCCTCACCAGAACTTCCTGTCGTTGTTTTTCATCGTCAGTGGAGTCAAAACTTTCCTCCGAATTGGATTCATCCTTATATGATTGTTCAAAACGACTTATTGATGATTCTAACTTTTTTTGTGATGGTGATTTATTGAGAGGTGGTAATCGTGACCTTGATTTACTTACGACTTCGCTTTGTGACAAGGAGAAACTAGACAGTTCTTTTTTGCGACGTCTACACCGACTGAAAATAAAATTGTTTTCTTTCAGTTATCCACGACCAAGTACTGAACTTTATGAGCGTCAGATGGAGGCATTAGAAAAATTATTGCTGGAAGATTTTGAAAGATATGGACACAAAGTACCGAATAACTTGATTGATTTATTATTCAAATCTGATCCAGTCATACCGAAGTCTAAACTTGTATCCTCCATCAAGACAACGGATGACGATAGGAAGGCACAAGCCAAAAAGCAAATAATTTTTGAACAAATTTGGAAAATAATGCAAAAGAATCTTCCGAAACAATATGCAAAAATATTTGTTTCTGGAGCAATTTGTTATCCTCCAAAAGTTTTACAAATCATCAGAAACCGTTTCCCGTCCCCCATAGATGACACAACAGCTGATAATTGTCTAAAACTGAATATGGAAGATTTTGTTAAATTTTTTTGTGGAGTAATACATACCGTTCTGTCTTAGCTGACATCTTGAAGATTTTATTTATCTTCGTTGTGAATGTTTTGCATGTGCTTTTCGAAAGCGAATAAGAAAAAACAGAATAAGTAAAAATGAATATACGACGTCAGATCACGCATACAACACATGTATCAATATACGAATAAAGCCTGAAAAAATAGCAAGTTTATTCCATCCTGCCAAAGCACTTAGAAACTAATAGAAATTCGGAAGTTTTCTGGAGATCCGCTGGGGACCTTCTGGAGAATCCGAACGCTTACAACACGCAGTTTCTTGCCTGAACAAATCTGTTTGGTACATAGACCCTAAAAACCGCAGCTCAGTGTGGTAAAAGTGCATTTTGTAGTATGAAATATGTCGGCATACCTTAGCACAAATGCCACACATGTTTCTACACACGCCCATCGGATGCGCAATGACCGATTACCTATACGCTTTTGACTTTAGGTAACAAATATCGAAGTAACTCTACAATTTTCGATTGTGGCTTTCTGAAGACCCGCTGGAGATTCGCTGGAGAATCTGACGGCTTACAACACGCAGTTTCTTGCCTGAACAAGTCTGTTTGGTACACAGAACTAAAAAACCGCAGATCAGTGTGGTAAAAGTGCATTTTGTAGTATGAAATATGTCGGCATACACTAGCACATATGCCACACATATTTCTGCACATGCCCATCGGATGCGCAATTGATCGATTACCTATAAGCTTTTGACTATAGGTAACAAATATGGAAGTAAGTCCACAATTTTCGATAATTAATCTTCTTTTTTCTGTTTTGCGTTTTTCTCGAAAACTATTTTTTTGCTACCAGGCTTCATTGTGCCACATTACGACCCCCCCTTAAAGGACCCTGCCGGTTTTCAAAATTATGTTGAAGCAGAAAGCTATATATCAGGTTTTGTAGAGCTTCTCGCGACGGATCTATATCTGTATTGGGTTTGGGTTAATACCTTCTGATTACCGAG